TACGTAATGAATGTGTAGCATAGTGTGGTCTCCAGACCATACTACAATATTCTAAAATATTACGAACTAGACTATTGTAAAGAAATATTTTAGTTTTGTAATGCATATTTTTTGAGTTCCTTATAACAAATCCCAACATTTTAGATGCTCTCATAATAATGTTATCCAAATGTGGTACAAAAGTTAATTTTTTATCGTATATTACGCCAAGATCCCGAATAGTCTCGACTTCCTTAATTTTATTATTATAAATGAAGTAACTGACATGTATTAAATTCTGTTTTTTGGAGTATTTAACATGATAACATTTACTTGTATTTAAGCACATTCTGTTATTGCAGCACCACTGGATTAGTCTATCAATGTCACCTTGTAGCAATTTGGTGTCATCATCATTCTTAATTATTCTCATAAATTTTAAGTCATCGGCATATAAAAAATATTTTGAAAAGTGAAAACATTCTTTAATATCATTTATGAAAAAATTAAATAAAACTGGTCCCAAATGAGAACCCTGAGGAACACCGGAACTTATAGTTTTTGTATTTGATTGAAAACCATTAATTGCAACAAAGAAGGTCCTGTGCACTAAATACGAATTCAACCATTTGAGTAACGAGCCACAAATCCCGTAGGCACTCAACTTAGAAATCAAGATCCTATGCGAAACCTTGTCAAAAGCTTTGCTAAAGTCAGTATAAATAACATCAGCCTGATAGCCCATGTCAATAGCCTCGAACAGGAACTCCGTAAAGGGAACTAAATTCGTACTAGTTGACCGAGACCTGAAGAACCCGTGCTGATGATCACTTATATACAGGCCTAAATGTTGTTGAAAATGATGACAGATTAACGACTCAAATACTTTGGCAAAGGTTGACAGAATTGAAATGGGTCTATAATTGGAAATAATATCGATATTTGATGACTTATGTATGGGGAATACTTTTGCTATTTTCCATTTTGAAGGAAATACGCCAGAAGCTAAAGACAAGTTGTAAATTAATTTTAAAGGATATATCAATTCACAGGCACATTCTTTTATAAAAATTGGTGGTATTTCATCTGGCCCTGCGCCTTTATTACAATCTAGTCCTTCTAGTTTTTTTAAAATTGTATCGTGTTCTATTTTTGGATTTGAGAGACATAAGCTGTTATTTACTAGTGATTGTAAGTAATCGGACATGCATTCATCATAACTATCATCATTCTCTGGGCTATAAACGGAGGAAAAGTAAGAAGCAAACATCTCACATATAACTGTACTATCTGAGGTGGAAAATGATCCATCGCTCATGGTTGTCGGAAATGAACTTGACCCACCCCTCTTGTCTTTCACCATCGACCAAAACAGTTTGGGGTTTTTCGAGAGTGCATCTTCACATTTTCTTAGGTAGTAATTGTAATTCTTAGTTGCTAAGATTTCACAACGCTTTCCTATAAGTTTTAGTTCGATTCTATCCAACGGATTTTTATATTTATTATATCGCTTCCTTATCCTATTTTTTTCGTTCAATAATTTAATAAGTTTATGATCAAACCACGATAGAAATTTGTAAGTTTTTAATTTATAATAAGGTACAAAATTTCGTATTGCTGTATACAAAATTTCGTAAAATATCTCATGAATAAATAAACAGGCTCTTGTGAAAAGGTACTACATATAAATATCAAAGAAAGCAAATTTTAAACGCATGTTTATTTTAATTTTAACTATGAGTAGAACTGCATGGATAGAATCTTGAAAGTCATCCGGTAATCGAACAGATCCAAACGTAAATTTCATAGTACGTACCCAAATAAGATCCGCGCCGACACCACACACCACTCATATTTTAATTGCAATTTGAAGTATCGATTTACCACATTCTCGGTGGTGGAGGAAAATATCGCGGGGAAACCTGCATATCTGAGAAGTTAAAAAAATATTTCCGAAATTATTTTTAGGTATATGTGAAATCGGTCATCCCGCATTGGAGTCAGTTCAGTTTCCCTCTGTCACCTCTTACGACACCCACGAGACGAAATGTGGTATTGGTTTCTATTCTATCGCCTCTACATTGCCAATATATTTCTGCCCCGTTCATCATTTCGATTCACCCCCATAGATTGCGAAATAAGTTGTATATTTGTCGTTGTTGCCACGCTTGGCAGGCGGGTTGCCAACTTCATCTTTTTTTGTTATTTTGAGCTGTAATCAGAAAGATGCTGCTGCCCATCTTGTCTATATTTCTACTCCCGTTCGTGAATATAGTTACTCTCACACGTATACAATAGAATCAACTAAATTTATGAAATTTTGAAGTCTACTCGAACGTAAAAAAATAACGACATGTATTTTATTGTGCTAATTAATATTTAATGGAGCCAATGGCCAAATATCACAAATAAATAATGCCAGTATTAGTAAAAACCATGAAATTCAACATAACTTTTTTACTTTTTTTATTTTTTAAAAAGCGGGGGCAGTTTACAAACACAGATTTATATACAAATACTTGTTCCGAGCGGGATTCGAACAAGTTGCCCTTAGCGCTGCAACTAATTACTAAGCCACTGCGCCACGGAGCCGGTAAACTTTTTTAATTATGAATAAATGTAAATAACGCATTTCTGATTTCATTACAATTTAACCTTCTTAGAGACACATCGGGAAATATGCCCCATATAAAATGTGTTGCTATTTTATTGCATAAAATTATTACCTAGTAATAATTCTGTGTGCGTAATAATTCTATGTACGTAATAATTCTATGTACGTAATAATTCTATGTATTGTTGCAATTCTGATAAACTCACTAATGTGCTTCTGTAGAATATTATATTGTCTAATTTCAATCATTTACGTCCAATATAGACATAAATACCGAGGTGAATCTACAAGTGATCTAATTTTGCTAATTTTGGCACGGCGTAGTAATAACGATGTTTCTAAATTGATGCCCACGCGAGTGAAGCCGCGGGTAAAAAGCTAGTAAATAATAGAACAATCATTGTAAAATCTAAAATAATGATATATACAATATTTTGTTATTGACATCGGGAGGATCAAGTATCACTTAAGTTGAAACTTAATGCAACATTTCTTAAAATACATATTACAATTGGTTAAAGGCATCTGCGAAATCTGTTACATTTACTAGGAAGTGGGACATCTTTTTGGCTAAAAGGGTAAAGGCAACCAGTATTATGACAGGCTTTCCATCTTAGTCCTCAGAGGCTGGAGATGACAACTTTTTTTTTTATATAAAAGGGTGTAAACTAGCATCATGCTTGAAGCATGGGCCTCACCGCACTAGCACCGACCATGAATAACTGCAACACCAGGGGAGCTGAAGGCAGTGCATTTCCGGCATTTAAAAAAGAGTAGGCTTTACTTGAACGTGAGGGAGGCTCGACCATAAGTTTAAAATTGGTCGCAGGTGTTCATAGACTGCAATAGCCCTTTACCTACAGGTGCATTTTAAGTTCGCTTGAACTTTATATAAAAAAAAAAACATTCGAAACCAAAATTAATAAAAAATACCACTCTTTTATGTTTATTTTATGTTTTTTTTTTTAGAATTGCATATATATTATACGTCTAGCAAAAACCACCTATTACTTTTTTATATTGGGCATGGTAAATTGTTTTTGAATAAGCATTGCATTTTATCGTTTAAATCTATTAAATGAAACTAATTTTTACAGATTTTATTTTTTTACATTTTATTACATTAAACGCGGTAAAATCCGTAAAAATTAGTTTCATGTAAATATAAGAAATCATTAAGTTTAAATCTATTTATAATTAATGATAATATATTTTCAATAAAATAATGTCATAGTTTTCAATTAAAATACGGCATAAAGTTTTTTGCCACATCTGATTTGGCGAGAATCCACTGCCAATATCGTCCCGCAAGTGTCATGAGACGCGACAGAGGAAAGCTGAAACAGGAGATGGGCAGTAGCAGAACAGTGGGCCTCTTTCTGAAAACAGCACAAGATCATAAAAAACTGCGGTTGCCAAACCGCCTGCCACATGTGGCAACTGTAGCCAATTGCAGCCTATTTGGCAACCTAAGCCCTATGTTCAGCAGTGGACTTTTGATAAGCTGTAATGATGATAAACACCCTTTAAAATTTAAAAAGCAGCAGCCTACATACATTCCACAAATAAGCAGAAACCGCATAGGGTTTTGGGACAAAAAATAGTTCACTGCCACTACGCGGGATGACACATAAAAATATTTACTGAAATATTTTTTTAACTTCTTACAGATATGCAGGTTTTAAGTTCTCGCGATGTTTTCCTTCACCGCCGAAAACGTAAATCGACACTTCCAATTGCAGATCAAAATATGAGTGGTGTCAACGTGGGTTAGATTCGGGCCATCCAGGTATCCATCGACTTCCTACATGTCTTACAAGGTCGTCCCTTATCTCACTAGATGTCCACTTTGTTCTGTCCATGTCCAGTGGGACATGGACAGAACAAAGGTCAAGTGTAACATCCATGTTACACCAATGCCGATAGTTGTTAAGAGCACTACGCTGGAAGTGGTTGACCAGGGAAAATTAGTCCGACTAGTACCTAAGTAGCGTTTGGAAGATTCCGACACATCTTCACGTCAGGCATAACTCAAAACTTCAAAACAAGATTTTACTACCATTGCGTGTTGCGTGACTGTTCTGAGACGTGGTCCTTCACTGCTGGCCGTATGAGGAAGCTCAAGGTCGCTGACCTGGAGAGGGCTATTATAATGTGTATAACTGCCCCGAAATATGTAAAACTGAATTATAAAATTCCATTAAATTCATACAGACAGATCATACATTCATTCAAACAGATCAAGCAACAAAAAGCGTGTTATTAAATACAGAATATTTTTGAATCATATTTATTAATCATCAATGAAATAAAAGAAGTAATTATAATTCCATGAAGACCGTTAGAGAGAAACAAAAAGAGAGAAATTTAACTGGACCTTAACGCCGGGAGGTATTGAGGAAGTCACCTATACAGAGTGCTGGGTTCTGGCCGCGCAAATGAAGTCGCTGCGCAGGGGGGCGTAGTTCAACTCCTGAGAGAGGTCACAACATGAAGTTACGAAGTGACTCTTTTCAGTGTCAACATTATATTCTAAAAGCATTAAACACAAATTTAAACGAAGAGAAATTTTAATAATTTTTAACGACTATAACAATTATTTGAATAAAAGATGTCTTCTCTAGAATACTTTTAACCGACTTCAAAAAGGGGGAGGTACTCAATTTGAATGTTTTTATGTTTTTTTTATGTGTTAAAAATATTTCGAAAACATGTGAAGAAACCGTATATAGGCTGTAACTTTAATTTTAAGTGTGTTACCTTATAACTTTTTTCTAGGTGAACCGATTTTGATGATTCTCTTTTTATTTGAAAGCTGGTGCTTCTCGTGTGGTCCCATAATTTGATAAAGGTCTATTTTTCAGTTATCCTTAACAATTTATATTGAAGTCGGTTGTACTTTTTAATTTTACCACTTGCTGCAGCTATTTTTTCTTTTATTCACCTTTATGTTGACTTCATCCGAGTAGAAAATATAGATCTATTACAGTTGTTTTTGGGCAAGTTTTTCAAACATCAAAATGTTGAAAACTTGTGCGATATGGCAAAATGTTAAAAATAAAATTGAAGAGTAATAAACCTCGTTGTGATGTTACTTATAGTGTTTGATATTTTGTAAATGTTCAAAATTAAATGCGATATTTACAAATTGATTGGCTCATTGGTCCAGTAGTAGTAAGCGCGGCTGCTGATCACGTGGACTCAGTCTCGTATCTCAGGTCGGGCCAAAACCAGTTAGATGGGTTTTACAAGAAATTTTCAGTAGCAGCTCAGAGTAAGGAAGTTGGCAGTATTTCACGCCATGCCTCGGAGAACACGTAAAGCCGTTGGTAATGCGCCTGATCTCTCTCTGGTCATGTTGGATTGCCGTTCCTTTCTAAAAGGCCGGCAACGCACCTGCAATTCCCCTGGTGTTGCGGCTTTAGTCACTTACCATCAGGTGAGACGCATACTCGTTTGCCCCTCTTCTATAAAAAAATATGACAGTGAAGTGAAGGAATAGAGGGCTCCTGTGTTTGCACATACTGTCCTACGCAGATGGCTAGTCTCCGTTAAGACTGGTCGTCGTCTAAATTCGGTCTGGAGATCGCTACTTCGTTCGATAATTCATACCAAAATTGCCACTTTAAAAGAAATATCTGAGGGACAATCGATTTAAGAATGGAAATTGTAACATTTGTTTTAATTTTACTGTGATCATTGGAGTCGTAAAATTCAAATGATTATTATTTATTATATGTATATAGTAGGTAGGTAAGGTATAGCAATAAATTTCACTAAAGGCGGAACAATTTGCCATCTTGAGAAATATTATAGATACTTATACATAAAATTAGTCAGTCAATCACAAAATAAAATAAATGCTTACCCGAGCAGACTTGTAACTAGTTAGGTATGGTTTATAAAGTATCGAGATAATAATGACGACCTCGATGACACATGGTTTTAAGTGGTAGTGACGGTAATCCACCAGAAAAATACCATTAACTGTCTTCGATACCGCATCCAATGCGTTAATCAGCTGAACTTCCCGCATCACTGAGGTCAGCGGCATTCACTGCTCCCCTGCTACCGCTTCAAGCCGATAGCCGACGAATGCTCGATCGCGGAGACGCAGAGCCGGAGCTCGGAGCGCAGAATACCGCATGAAACCGGCGGACGCGCACGCAACTCGTTCCTGCCAGCAGTTGCATTACACGAAAAAAAAAAGAAGTGTCGAAACCGAGTGGCTAGTGTATTCAGTTGAACGTGCTAAGTCCAGTTTCGTCGTGGATCTCATCCAGAAACGTGTCCAGGTACCTATTTTTAGATATATCTGTGTCTCGGTTCAGAACTGGTTTTCTATAGCTTTCCATCGCGAAAGTTCAGCTTTATGTAGTTATATATATAAACAGAAGCATATAAAATATGCACTAATCCTTGTTAACTAAATCCTAATGTTTATAATAATATAATATATATAAAATATTGTTAAAAATTAAAATATTGAAACTCATCATAAAAAATAAGGATAAACTTTCCAATATGGACCATCGATTTAAATGCCCATATTACCGTAGTAATTGACATAAATTTGCAAAAATAATTGATTTTCAATAATTTTTTTCTCAAAAAGTACGCGGTTCCGCATATTGAAACTTTGCAAAACGCTTTCTTTTAGTGAGTACTATCTACAAAAAAATATGGGCATTTAAATAGATGGTCCATATTGGAAATTTTAACCTTTTTTATTAGTGTTATTGATATTTATAATTTGTTAAAATATATTTTTGCCTTCTTTATATTTTTGATGATGAGATCATGACACTAGGATCAGGACACATAGGAAATATAAAATTAGCAAATATACCTATTTAAGAATGTAATAATTTAATGTCTTCTAATTATTTACAAAAAATTACCGACTCAACTTAAAAAAAAAAAACAAGCAGAAACTGAGTACGTACTACGCTTTAATAAAATGCAGGTGTTAAATCAATGAACGCAGTTATTAAAAAAAAATATTAAAAATGTAATAAGTTTTAAAAATTTAAATGTAGATTTATTTTTTATAATAACGAAGTATAAATAAAAACTGTTTGTAACCGTCATTTTCTATTTCATACCATTTAAAACAAATGATACAATCTATTTAGGTAAAGGATATAATATTTTCTTTTTACAGTGTAGGCTCTGAGGAAATGGCACAATACCAGTATCTATGTCTGCTTGCCGTCGCTATTTTAGGTAAGATAATTAGAACTTTGACTGTGAACATACATCCATCCATTACAGCCTATAAAAGCCATCTGCTGAACATAGGCCTCCCCCATAGATTACTTCTTAAGAAGGAATTTGACATAGACGCCGTTTTTTTATGGCAACCGCAGTTGTCTATAATTTTAAATAGTAATCAGGAAAATGCTGCGCTCATCTATTTCAGTTTCCCTCTAATGCCTTTTAAGACACCCATGTAACGATATGGCGTAGTGGATATTCTTTCACCGCCACGGTTAGACTGGACTGTGAACATTCTGAGTGACATTCAAAAATAACTATTTGAGTCATTATTCATTAGTTTAAGTTACCTCATTTAACACTTAGGATAATATATTGTTTGTCATTATCATGACTACAAATTATTTCTTTGTCTACGTTGACATCTCGACAAATAATGAGTTGTACATTGGTTGTGGCCGAAATTTATTAATATTGTTCAATATTTATTAATAATTTGAAATTAAAAAAAAAACTAAGTTGTTGCCAGTAAAAATAATTCATATCGAACATTACTGAATGTGATGCTGTGTATTGACAGCGTAAGAGATAGGAGATCTCGGCGGCGACTTGCTGCATCTTCCTGATTTTTGAGTGAAAACTACGTTTGCCAACCCGCCTGCCAAACGGTGTAACTACTTATGGCAATTATCATAATGAGGTAATCTACGAGAGAGGTCTATGTTCAGCAGAGAACTTTTGACACTCTTTTGATAGAATGAACGTATGATTGCTTTTTTTTAAAAAAAAAACGTTATCCCTACATTAGGATTTTCTCCTGTATAGTGGAGGCAGTTTACAAACATAAATTACATAAGGACTTCCGTCTGGACAATGGACGATATGGCCAACAAATAATTGTCCAGACCGGAACAATTATTTGTAGGCCATACAAATACTTGTTCCCCGCGTAATTCGAACCCTCGGCCCCCAGCGCCGCAACTCATTGCTAAGCCACTGCGCTGCGGAGCCGACAACTTTGCTGAACGTACTTTTAGTTAAACTGAATACTAAATACTGTCTCTGATCGGCATACCGATTGTGTAAGCCCTGGTGGGCACTCTGTGCAGGTGGGAATCACTTCGCAACTGGTTTGTGCTAATATTTTGTAACCTCAAATAATATATTTATTTTAAAAAGACATCGAATAACAATTTATACTGATACATTTACGTTATACTATGTAATGAAACCAAACCACGCGAACAACTACAAAACGAATCCAACAACGATTCACACAAGTTTTTTTTTCTTTGGTAAAGCCTCTTATTGTAGTATTGTTGTCAGTGTCACTTAATAATAAATTATCTTTTAATTATAATTTGTTTCAAAATTTCGTTACAATATATGCGTCACATTGCGAATTTGCGAAGTTTTTGGGAGATTTTGACGGTTGCCTGAGCCAGCGGACAGTCGATGACGATAGTATCTCAATTCTCAAGGCGCCAAAACAGACACAATAACTTGAGTTTCACATCACCATCGGAGCACTTGTTTCATCGTTCTCACTAATAGTTCACATGCGTTAACGTTTAATACACAAAATCACACCACTGTCACGTATCAAAACCCACTTCAAGCCATTATTCAAACAATAAACCAGGAGCAACAATCTACCAGCGGTTAAGTTCCCGCCAAAACTAGAGAAGTTTTACTACTAGAGCTACACAATCTCACTGACGCTGAATTGATGAAGCATAAGTTTTTATTCTCTCCAAAATCTCAGTTAAACTTACAGCCTATATACGTCCCACCGCTGGGCACAGGGCTCCCCCCATTTCTGAGAGTGTTGGCGAGCTTCACATGTCTTCGAAATATTTTTTTTATTTCTCAGACATGCAGGTTTCCTCACAATGTTTTTCTTAACCGCCGCAAGTAGTAAATCAGCACTTAAAATTGCAATTAACAATTTCATTGGCGCCGGCGGGGATCGAACCCGCAAAAAGTCTGTACTTATCTATACAAATAAATAAAATTGAAGTGTCTGTTTGTAATGTTAAAATAACAGCTTTTTACTAAATGCATATAAAAGTATATACGGTACTAATAACCAAAAAACAATTTTCAAAATTTTTGTCTGTCTGTCTGTTTGTTCCGGCTAATCTCCAAAACGGCTGGACCGATTTTGACGGGACTTTCACTGGCAGATAGCTGATGTTAAAAATAGTAACTTAAGATACTTCTATTTTAGAAAAATAAATAGGGTTCCGGGCAAAAAATTAAAACCCATGAAATCGTAGTAAATTCCACGCATGCGATGTTGCGAGGGACAGCTAGTTATGAAAAACTTCTCTATGACGGTGGCAGAATAATTGTCGTTCTATTTCATACTACAAGATACTCGTAATCCCAAGAAGTCCGGCAAATTCTGTGCCTCGACCACGTCGGCAACATTCCAATATATCAGATATTATCAGCTGCTTAGGGCTCTATAATATAACAGTGCCACAACAATACGCACAAACAGGGAGACACTAATTTCTTCTAACCTACCCGTGCGCGATGCGACGCATATGCAATAAATTGTAATAAATAGGTCTGATAATGCAGATTCACCGATACGCGAATCACAACTAGTCACATAAACCAATAATTTGTGTTCTTGCACAAATGTTGGCGCTGACTACAGCATTTAAACCCAAACACAGCAACGCATTAGCTAGTCCACTGAGCCATGTGTGTCAAATATCACGATTGGGCATCTCCCAAATTAGTGGAAGCTTTTGCTCAGTAGTTTATTTTTATTATACAGGCTAAAGATGGCATAAATTTTCTTTAATCCAATACTTCTTTTCATTTTTCACGTGGGAACGTTTCTTAGATAAAAACGTGCAAAAAAGAAACAATTATTTGTAGGTCGTAACCAATACTTGGCGGGTGTCGAACCGTCGAACCTACCCATAGCGCAGCAGCTAATAATAATCATTGTCTGATATATGTACAATAATTTATAATAACTAAAGTATTAACTAATGAAAAATTGAAGCGAAGTAAGACAAAGATATGCAGCCAAGAGTTCAAGAATTAGTCACAAATCACGACGAGCTATCTTGTCAGTCTAATTACAATTTAATGATGGTAGCGGTCGCGTATTCTTTATTCTGAGAACCGAGTAAATATTCAAACGTGTAGGTGTGATTCATAATCTATGAAAAACGATTCTGCTTACGATTGAATCAGAAATCACAATTGCTTAAAAACTATAAGTAGTATCATTAAATAATAAATTACCTTAAATTAAGAATTGCGAAGCAATATCGCATATACCTCGATAAACTTTTAACTGAATACAAACTGTAAATAGAGTCATAATTACTAATGAGCATAAATTGTATTATCCTGAGAATAAAGTACAATGGAACAAATCTTACATAAGATAACCTAAATAATAAATTAGGTAAATAAGACAACGTGATGGATGACGGATTTATATTTATTCGTCATTTTTATAACAAGTGGTAATATCAATTTTTTATACGTGGTAGAGCCATGCTGCAGCTATATTAGTAGTATAGTTTTAGCACGAATGGGTCGGCTCGACCGGGTTAGGACCACGCTCTCGCAGAATACCAGCGTAAAATAGCAGCTTAACACTGCTGTTTTTCGTATGGTGAGTGTAAAGAACCGGAGACCCTTTTACTGGAAAAGAGGTATTCCATCTTAGTCCTCACGGGTGACAACGCATCTGCATTTTGATTCGCAAACGAGGATAGATGTAGATGTCTATGGGCCACAGCAACCACTTACCATCAGGTGGACTGTGTGCTCGTTGCCACGTAT